ACATATATACATACTGTATATACATACATACATGTATATGCATAAACATATATGTATATATATATATATATATATATATATATATATATATATATATATGTATATATATACATAAAAGAGAGACAAAGGAAGTGAGTTTCGGGTAAAATGTATTTAATAGATTCAACATACTATATATATAGAGTATATATATACATATATATATTGTGTGTGTGAGCATGAGCATAAACATAAACACAGTAACGTGTACACAAAGATGAAAAAGAAATCAACCGCAATGAGAAATGAAACGAAATCATAACATTTCGAACTCTTCATGAATTCCTCTTCAGGCGAATAATTAACCGAAATGGACTATTCTGGTATGATGATCAGCAGTTTCAATGCAAAACAAGTAGTGATCTTAGTAACGTTCAAGTGAACTGCGTCAACTGCCTGCACAAACTAATGCCCCTTATAGAAATCCCTGTCTTAGTGCCCTTAAACTCTTTATAAACAAAGATGTGCTTCATGTATTTCGATATAAATTTACGCCACGAAATATCGTCTACAACGAGTAAATAAACTAGGCCCGCACAAGCTTGGGTTTGGGCATGTATTTTTTTAAGAAACTGACTGAATTAACGCAGGTCACGAGCGGGAATTGCGCACATATTACAAATTGGCCTTCAAGTGGAAAATGACGCTTTGGGCTGTGAGCGAAAAAGGAAGAAAATTTTATTCGTTTGTTACGAGAGGTGATCAACGCCAACTGTTGGCACTGCCTCGGTATCACCTCGGCTTACCATCACAGATTGCTGCTGGTCCTCGGGGCTGTCACTGCAATGGGTAGGAGGGTTGTCGAACGAGAATATCTGTGGCTCGTTACCTTTCCGAATTTTTTTCATCAGGATTTAGCAATCTTAACGATAAAATTATGAGTGGGTTGGCTTTAGCTTAAGGGACATTTGTTATATATGGATATATATGTGTGTTTGTGTGTATGTATATACATATATACACAAATATGTGTGTGCGTGTCTTTGTGTTTGTGTTTGTGTGTGTGAGACAGATGGTATGTTTGTATGTGTATAAAATGGAAAAAGTACCTAAGTACTCTGCAACCTCTACTGTTTATACACATCACTCTTCGCTTCGCAAGGCTGTGCAAAGATTAGATGTATTTCTCAGATTCAGTCAATATATATATATATATATTTATTATTACGTACATTGTTCTTCAGATGAGTTTGTGTGTATGTATATACATATATACACAAATATGTGTGTGCGTGTCTTTGTGTTTGTGTTTGTGTGTGTGAGACAGATGGTATGTTTGTATGTGTATAAAATGGAAAAAGTACCTAAGTACTCTGCAACCTCTACTGTTTATACACATCACTCTTCGCTTCGCAAGGCTGTGCAAAGATTAGATGTATTTCTCAGATTCAGTCAATATATATATATATATATATATATATATATATATATGTAGTATAAACTATATACACAATATGTGTGTGCGTGTCTTTGTGTTTGTGTTTGTGTGTGTGAGACAGATGGTATGTTTGTATGTGGTATAAAATGGAAAAGTACCTAAGTACTCTGCAACCTCTACTGTTATACACATCACTCTTCGCTTCGCAAGGCTGTGCAAAGATTAGATGTATTTCCAGATTCAGTCAATATATTATTATATATATTTATTATACGTACATTGTATATATATATATATTTTTTATTACGTACATTGTTCTTCAGATGAGAAGTGGAAGTTACATATAGTTTTGCGTCTTATCGTACCCACCTGAAGTGAGTTCCGTGTCCAAACAGACAACAGACATTTACTTGACCTATTGATTAAATTATATCAACAAATCAATATACACAGCATTTTCTTTATTTTCTTTTGTATTTTTTGAGCCTGTAAGGTTATATCACAGAGGTATAGATTAATTTTGAATAATTCCATCCCACCGAAGTCAATATCACGTCATATAACACGGACACGTTGGAAATTCTTACTATGTCGTTCCAGCTACCGTCATGACTGACCAGATATTACCCATATAGTGTGAACATGTTTGATATACAGCAAAAAAGGCACAGAAACATAATATGCACCTTTACAATAAAAAGTTTCATCAAGAAACTTACGATGTGATTCGTAATTAATGCAAGCATAAATCCCTATTTGAGACTACGTAAAACACATCCAAAAAATATCGCGCTCTCAATAGCTGGACAGTGTGTATCAAACCGTATCAAGGTGAAGGTATACACTTTGATACAGACTGAAAAGGTGTTTCAACATCAGATTGTATCAAATTGTTAGGGGTTTCGGAAATATTTAAAGGAAGAGGCCTTATGTCTTTGTATATTTCTGTTACAACATGCTTTGTAATATATAGAAGAATAATACATTAGCACACTCATTAATAACCACAGCATTAAGTATATATGGTACTCACACACCTTTTTGAAA